AGGGCATCTGCCATGTTAAGTGCACGACATTAAGGATTTAACATGAATATTTTCAATGATCACACTTCTAGGGATAAAGTTAAAGAATTCACTCTTGCAAGTAGGTCTCTTTATCAATCCAGCAAAGTTGGGGTGAATCCTAATCATTTTAAGATCTTCATTGTTGCTACTAGAAGTGGCACCTTTGTTCTTAGGAACATGGATAGACTTGCAATTCTTACTAGGAGTCTTTTCAATAGTTTTAACGGAAGAAAAAGGCGAGCTCAAGTTACAAAAAAATTCTTCCAACTTATCAATTCAAGAGCGGCTCTCTTCTACCCTCTCGTTAACTATGGGTCTTTTCTCTTTTAGTAATTTAAGAGTATCTCCTACCTTCAACCCAATTATATTAGCAAGATTATGGATCTTTTTATCCAAATTTTCAATGTGTTCTATAGTGAGCATTTTCTTTTCAATAGCATCTAGCCTTCGCATAACATGCTCAAGAGTTAAAATCGTTTCATTGATAATGATTGGAGGTAATCCCACTAAATTTCCCGTGGCATTAAAAGCATCCATAAAGGGACACGTCAAGAAATTCCCTCCTATAATAATGTCAAGCATAAATCTGTACCAAGTAGTGTTTCCCACATAAAAATTACAAAGAAGAATGGTACTAGATTGCTTACGAGTTGATCTATTACGAGCATTGCAAATCCTATACCAAGAATCTCTCAATTTTTCTCCTCCCCTTTGTTTAAAATTGAGAACTTCATTCTCAGGGGTGCACGTGGCAAGGGAGGAACTATCCATAACGATAAAGTGGGCAAGCAAACAAAGAGGCGAACAAGAAATAGGCAAACGGAAAATATTTTTGTAAAACTTTTTAGATGTGGGGGAGATGAAAATGAGAGGCAAATGGAAAATAAAGTAATTGCAAGGAGATAATATTTTATGCGTAGGTACTTGATAGATGTTGATGATGTCTCCTTGGCAACGGTGCCAGAAATTCTTCCTGGTTGCTTGTAAACTGCGTTGGTATTTCCCCGAAGAGGAGAGGATGATGCAGCACATCAGAGGTAAGTATTTCCCTCAGTTGTGAAACCAAGGTTATCAATCCAGTAGGAGAACCAAGCAACACTATGTAAACATCACCTACACACAAACAACAAAAAATTGCAACCCAACGCGTAAGAGGGGTTGTCAATCCCTCAACGGTATTGAGATAGATTAAATTGTATAGGTTTTGATAAATAGATCTAACTAAAACACACACAAAATAAATAAAGAAAAATTGCAGAAAGTTATTTTTGGTTTTAATATATGATAGGAAATAGACCTGGGGGCAGTAGTTTCAACTAGAGGCTCCGCTGAAGAAATATCATACGGTGGGTAAACAAATTACTGTTGAGCAATTGATAGAAAAGCAAATAATTATGACGATATCTAAGGCAATGATTATGTATATAGGCATCACTTCCAAGATTAGTAGACCGACTCCTGCCTGCATCTACTACTATTACTCCACACATCGACTGCTATCCAACATGCATCTAGTGTATTAAGTTCATGGGAAAACAGAGTAATGCAATAAGAATGATGACATGATGTAGACAAGATAAACGCATGCATGAATAAACCCCATCTTGTTACCCTTAATAGCAAAGATACATGTGTGTCATGTCTCTTTCTGTCACTGAGATTGAGCACCGCAAGATCGAACTCATCACAAAGCACCTCTTCCCATGGCAAGAAAAATCAATCTAGTTGGCCAAACTAAACCAATAATTCGGAGAAGAAATACGAGGCTTTAACAATCATGCATAAAAGAGTTTACAGAAAACTCAAATAATATGCATGGATAGATTGATCATAAACTCACAATTCATCGAATCCCAACAAACACACCGCAAAAAGAGTTACATCAAATAGATCTCCAAGAACATCAAGGAGAACATTGTATTAAAGATCAAAAAGAGAGAAGAAGACATCTAGCTACTAACTATGGACCCGTAGATCTGTGGTAAACTACTCACGCATCATCGGAGGGGCGGCAAGGATGGTGAAGAACCCCTCTGTGATCGTTGCCCCCTCCGGCATAGTGCCGGAAAAGGCCTCTATATTGGATCTCGTGGTTCTGGAACTTGTGGCGGTGGAAAAAGTATTTCGTCGACTCCCTTAGGGTTTTGGGGATTTTAGAGTATTTATAGAGGTGGACGTATGTCAAGGGGGTGCCTGTGGGCCCCACTACCCCACCAAGATGCGCCTGAGGCCTGGTGCCTAGTGGGCCCCACGGGTGTCCCCTCGTACCCTCCAAAAGCTTTCTGGGTGTCTTCCTGTCAGAAAAAAAATCTCCAAAAAGTTTCATGGCATTTGGACTTTGTTTGGTATTGATATTCTGCAAAGTAAAAAACAAGCAAAAAACAGCAACTGACACTTGGCACTGTGTCAATAGGTTAGTCCCAAAAAATGATATAAAGTTGCTAGTAAATGTATATAAAACATTCAAGATTGGTCATATAACAGCATGGAATAATAAAAAATTATAGATACATTGGAGACGTATCAAGGCTTCCGGGGAGTTCTTCAATCTCGCGTTATTGGCTCGACAAGCATGGTAAATGTTAACTAACCTAGATTCCATTAGTGCCCAAGTTTTAAAAGCAGTCTATTTTCCTGAAGGAAATATCCTAACTGTTGATATTGGTTCGCGCCCCTCGACCGTCTGGAGGTCTTTGCGGATCGTTCGCGAGTCCAACTCGCTCTCTTGTCACGCCTTTGACTCATGAACTCGAGTCGGACTCATTCACTGCTGACTTTTTTGAGGATCGTTCGTTCTTCACTCTCTTGCTATTACCCGCAGGGAGCGCAGCAACCGATGGTGCATATTATCATATAGAAAGAACCGAAGCATAGCGATTCGTCTGCGAAGGTAGGGATGTGTTGAAGTTGGGCGTGATCAGGAGAATTGGTGATGGAAAAGAGACACAGTTTTTTGATAACTGGCTGCCACGCGACCATAAGCTATAGCCGATTTGTGCAAGGAGTGCAACATCGCCGGAGTTTGTTAGTGAATTAATTAACCAAGCCGTGCATGCATGGAACATAGAGGTTGTACGAGAGCATATGACCCCCCTGATGCGGAAGTGGTGCTAAACATCCCGTTGTTAAGTTCAATCAACTTGCCGAATACCTGGGCATGGCACTATGAGCACTCTGGACGATTTTATGTCTGCTCAGCCTACCGGCTACTAGTGGACACGAAGTGACAAAGAGAGGACTGGCTCCAGCACCGACCGGGGCGTCCGACCTTGAAGGAAATCGTCGGCAATGGTCTGATTTATGGGGCATCAAGGTTCCTTCTAAAGTTAAAATTTTTGCTTGGCGACTTCATGTGTCCCTCCCGACGGGTGATGTAAGGCTATTTCGGAACATGGCGCATGAGGCGACTTGTTCTGTCTGCAATGCAGCTGAAGATTCGTGGCACCATTTGCTCATTGATTGTAACATGGCGAAAGCAGTATGGCCGCTGATGGATGATGATGTTGTGAATCTCATCCAGTCGCGTGATCGGGAGGATCCTGAGTTGTGGTTGTTCAATCTAATCGAAGTAGCATCACATGCTGAAGTTGTGAAGGTCCTGATAACACTATGGTCCATTTGGTGGGCTCGTCGGAAGTGATTCACGAGCAACAATTCCAGAGTCCACTATCGACGTTCTCGTTTATCCGGCGTTTTTTGCCAGAGCTTGAAGGGCTGCCAATCAAGAAGTCTAACCAGCCCAGCCAACCTCGTAAGCCTGCCCGGGGCGGCTGGCAAGCTCCTGCTGTGGGAAGTGCCAAAATTTATGTTGACGGAGGTGTAGACCGAGGAGAACGGAAGGGAGTTGTAAGTGCAATTTGTCGTGATGTGAGCGGTACTTTCATGGGCGCGTCCTCAATTGTTTTTGAAGGTCTTATACAACACTTGAAGCCATTGCATGCAGTGAGGGAATGTCGCTGGCTCTTGATCTAAACCTCTCACGGTTACAAATTGCTACGGATTGTCTACAAGTGGTTTACAACATCAAGGAGGATAACCTATGCAGTTATGCAGTGATCATCAAGGAGATTCTCACGAAAAAGGCGTTGTTTCAGAAAATGTCCATTAGACATGAAAATCGAGCATGCAATATTAAAGCACATAGTCTAATGAAAGCTGCTACTTGGAGAGTGGGCGCCATGTTTGGCTCACCTCACCCCATCTATAGTTTGTATCCTACAAACATTGTTTAAATAAAGCTATGTGGTGTTCTCAAAAAACAGTTCTCTTTTCTTTTTACTTTCTCATTCTTTAATAATTTGCTCAGGTCGCATGTTCGTCACGCTCCTAGCGCCGGAAATCGACACCTGCCACCTATAACAGTGTAAGTTCAATAACCGTTTTCACGTGGCTAACATAGATGTACTACACCAGTTACAGCGGCGTAACAAGATGGCAAAAGACTTCGTTTTGTTAAAAAGACAAATGATAAGTGTCACACGTGTAACACAAAGTAGCACCGGCCTGATGTTTTTACAACAAAAATTGCCATCCAAAAAAGAACAAAACCCCCAAAAAAAGAAACTTGCCATCCAAATGGAAAGTTACCATTTTCACAACTAAAGTTGCCATCCCCGGTTAACTAAAGTTGTCAAAAAAAAACGTCAGGATGAAATTGTTTCGTGTCACAGCCACACGTGTGGCACTTATCAAGGTCCAAAAAAAAGATGGTTAAAGATTTCACTCCCGGAGAGTACATGAGTAAATACAATACTCGGTACATCGCGGACGAAAAAAATCAGCACATGAATTGCTACTATCTACCATCAATGGCAAAGTATCAGCTGAGCTTGTTCTCAACTTGCGCTGCGCATGCCTCAAAACTAATTTAGTCATCACAAGAATAAACATCCCCAGATAACAAGGTGCACCTAACTGTTGCCCACATACTACATCTTTCGGCAGCACAAAGCTCTGCTCAGGCAGCATGTTGAACCATTTCATGGGCATTTCCTCTGGATATAGGAAACGCCATGCTCCTCGTACCTGTTTGCGAGATGCATACAAGAAAAAGTTGTTAGGTGTTGGCGACGGGCAGGGCAAACAGACCCTAGAATATCAACCCAAACTTACTCTGCTTTGGAGAACCACATTTGCTGGAACGACCCGAGAGATGCAAGAATGCTCCCTCCAATCCAAACACTGCACTCAAATTACAGATATACATATCAGCCTTGTCAACGGACATCTATCTAGAAGATGAATCTCGAACAGACAGAATGAGTCTCCCTCAGACCAATTCACACCCTATGGCCCCGATAAGTTTTACTGGTATGATGATAAGCATGTTTTCAGCCAATTTCAGGGCCACAACAATATGTGTTAAAGCTACTCGGATTAATTAATACAGCAAAATACAATTTTACTTTCTAGTGGCAACACAATGACATACGCAATCATTCAAACTGCTCTGCTTCTAATGGGATCCATCGAATATAGCCAGTGCATACAAAGACAAGCAAAGATAGCAGTCTAACCTGAAACGCCTCTCCATTGAACTTCCACTTGCCAAAACCTTTACGCGAGCATTTTGAGGGGACTCCTGCAATCATTGAGTTAAAAAATAAGAATAACCCTGCAGAGATTCAGGGAACATAATAAAGCAGCTTTAGACTTTAGTCACAACATTGTAATCACTGTTCACTAACCAGCAAAATCAAAGACTAAGGAACCATTATTAATAGTCACTAACAAAATCAAGACTAAGTAACCATTGTAATCACTGTAGTCAGTAGTCACTAACAAAATAATCAACGAGATCCATTTTAATCTTCTATTCCCGACAAAGTTCACAGATATAAGGTGGAAAGCTTGTCTAAAGCATGAATTGAGTTCATAAAAGCAAATAAGTTATTGAATTGATTAATAGTAAGCAAAGCTTCAAAGAAAGAAAAAAAATACATGCCTAACTATAATGCCACTACCTCTATATCAAAATTGATGTCATTATATGAAGAAAAAAATGTAGAAAAACTTTTCATGACAAACCTGCTATCATTTCTATGTGAGAGCTACGCACCACTTGATTGTGGCAGAGGCGCCAAAGTGGGCATTGGACAAGGTGGACAAAGGATGCCGAGCATTTTTTTGTGCTGGCTCCGATCACATCCACGGTGGGAAGTGTGCGGTTGCGTGGCAAAGGGTGTGCAGGCCGAAACAGTTGGGAGGCTTGGGAGTGATTGATCTTCATCGTCATGGTATTGCCCTTAGGATGAGGTGAAAGTGCCTGAAAAGATCAGATGACGCCAGACCGTGGCAGGGCCTCATTACTCTCGTGGACAAGGAAGTAAGCTCGGCCTTCTCTAGCATTGTTCACTGGCAGGTAGGAGATGGCGCTAAGGCTCTCTTCTGGAAGGATAGATGGGTGAGGGGTTCGACAGTGAAGAAGCTGGCGCCCATGCTGGTGGCTAAGGTCAAAACACAGGTTATCAATAGACGGCCGGTCAAGGACGGATTGGCACTACAGGCTTGGATGAATGATATAGTTGGAGAGCTGGACACGGAGGGGCTCGCCCAGTTCATCAGGCTTTGTGAGGCTCTCATGAACTTTGAGCTACACCTGGGAGAGGAGGATCGACCGATCTGGAGGTGGAACACCGCTGGCACATATACGGCTGCTTCGGCTTACGCAATGATGTGTGAAGGGGGCATAAGATTCCAGCTTGCGGCTGCGATATGGAAGAGTGGGGCTCCTCTCTCCTGCAAGCTTTTCATGTGGCTGGCCGTCCAGTACAGAATTTGGACTTCGGTCATTGCGTTTATGCCAGGCAGGTGTGGTTTCAATGCTTCACCAAGGTCGAGATCCCTTTGGAGCTGATGCCAAATAGAGATGAAAGGGTGGAGGACTGGTGGGTAGCTTCGAGGAAGAGGGTGCCCAAGGCGCAGCGGAAGGACTTCGATTCCTTTGACATGTTGGTATGCTGGAGTTTGTGGAAGCAGAGGAATGGTAGGGGTTTTGGTAGGGACAACGTGTGTAATGAAATAGATACGGTCAGGAACATTCTGAGGGAACGCCACTTATGGGCGCTAGCGAGACGGAGTGGAGTGCTACACTTTTGTGAGTAGTCGCTTAGGAGCCGGTGGAGTAGGGTGTAGGCACGCCTTATGGTGATGCATGCGGCTTGTAATTTCTTGTAAATATTTTTCTCCCCTTCTATAAAGCTAAGGCACGCCTTTCGCGTGCTCTCGAAAAAAAAATCTATGTGAGAAGTCTAAATGCTTTTGTGTATGCTAATGGTTGATGAATGCTCATATTCTAAAATAAAGTATATGCGGAAACGGTGAAAATATAAAGCATAAGTGACTTATCCTATCTTGTTCAGTTCTTTTACCTCCAGTACTTCTTTTTCTAGGCGCTCTTTTATCTGCAGAATTGATGACGAGCCACCAGAAAGCTATCCAGAATACAAGTTTGCAGATGTTAGAGTTGTATTAAGTATTAACAAAATATAACAGGAGAATTGAAGATTATGTTGTAATGTTATACAAGATTCATTCACTAAGCTTGTGCACGGGAACATTTAGAGAGTAGTAGAATGCAGCACTTGATAATGTCTTTACCAAGATGTTGCTGAGTAATTCCTTGCGAATGTCAACATCACACCTATTTACACTGTCAAGGACCTGATGAAAAACAATGGTGGCGGCATTCATTAACATAAAGAATTGTCCAAGCTGCACAACTGTATAGTACCCATAACTTAACTCACCATTCGTGGGAGTCCGATTGAAGTGGAATCTCCAAATCCATCGATGCCAGGAATAGTCTGTTGATCAAAAGTTAGTTCGTGAGAGAGGAAGACAAGTCAGCTAGGTCCAAAAGATTTTTTTTTAATATTAATAGCATCTAATGAAGAAGAAAGCAATGAACTTGTTCAGCTCCTGGATAGTGTGATCTACCACTAGCACAAATCCTGACCAATTAACATACATGCACACAGGAAATTATATTTTTCTCGCTCACCTGAGAAAGATATGGGTTGAACAAAATGTCAGGAATCTTGAATCTATCTGCACCAACTTCAATAGTTCTGCTCAGATATAACATAAATAAGTTATAAGGTCTTAAACAGTACAAACCACATATTTACCAAAAAATTACAGCAACAGAAATAGAGAAAGTGAAGATCAGAACCCCAGCACCTTTTAGGCCTTGTACAATGGGAGGTGCTTAGGGAAGGTGCTAAGAAAAATAAACCAGGCTTTTTTTAAGCACTGGTGCTTATTTGTACATGATAGACGCTTAACTAAGCGTCTCTCCTGTAGAAATAGGCACCGGTGCTTCAGAAAAACCCGGTTTATTTTTCTAAGCATCTCCCATTGTACAAGGCCTTAGGTGCATTGTGCATCCAAAATCGAAATACCATGTCTACTTTTTTAATGGACATCAAGTAAGTATACAATCAATGTAATAGCTGAATCATGATATGGCCTACCAGGCTGCAAAATTAGTTAAATTACAACTCGAGGCTCCACTAAAATGCGGCACATGAGCAGATCCAGGTAAACTGTGGCTTTTCATCGGAATTTGAGTTGAAACTTTGTGGTTACCAAACTGCAATTTTTGAATGCTATGATATACTGGTTTTATGTCAATTTGTAAACAATGAAATTCGCCATGTCCATTTGTAGGGTGTACTGAAGTGAAGAGGCATGAACACAATCCAGAAAGTAGCTACTGACCCATATTCTTAATCTACCTGGTTATAAAATAGAACTATCTGGCTGTAAACAAGTATGTGTCTACATAATATTGATAACTTACTGCCCATCTGGAAGCTCATATGAAGTTGTAGGGACATTTGCATATGCCACTTCTGCATGAAAATAAAGCAGGGAAAGTAAATAGCAGAACCTAAAAGAGGAACACAAAGCAAGGTAATGCTTAAAGCACACAGACAGATGTGTTAAATCAGCCAAATGAATGAAAATAATGGTGACAGGCAGACATATGCATAAAAAGCAGCCAACTATATTATGGTTGTATGCATATTTAAGATTCATGATTGGATCAACTGAGCTGGCATATTCCTCCGATTGTGCAGGTCAGTATAGTGGATCCAGTATCATCTGAGCTGCATTAATATAGCAAAGCTAAACAATCACAGAAATAATGTATTTTTTAAATGTTATACCATCAAAGGGGGTATCTGGAACTCTGCAAACTGACTCTTTGATGTCGCTAGTGATGGCTCTCTGTGATACAGAGTAAGCATAACCATTAAAGGCATACAGACAAAATTCAACAAAGCAAAACAAGAATTACAGATTTGCAAATGAACATACCATGCAGTATAACCTGTAACTATCCGTCGTGTTTGGAAAATCAAGATCTACAACCTGAAAAAGACAAACATGGGTTCACAGAATAAACACTGCATAGTTTCCCTTATATCCGTCTAGTGTGATCCTTCAGGTTTTCATCTGTATAAATTCGTCCACCCAGTTTTATTAATTTGCAAATTCTTCCTCCGTTAGTTAAAAAAATGAAATTGGCTGATATCATGGCAATATTAAGTAGTATAGATATTATTATGGGGGAAGTTGATCGTTGAAATGATAATAGATAGGGTAGAGGTAGAAACTATCAATTCTTTTTCGAAATCAGAATTATTAAAAGAAGTCTATGAACTGATGTCGATTCTACCCATTTTGACCCTCCTTTTGGGAATAACAATAAAGGTACTTGTAATTGCGTGGTTAGAAAGAGAAATAGCATAATGCTAATTAATTTCGAATGTAACCAATTAACCATGATTAATTAATTAACACAGCAAATTCAGAACCTTAGATAGACCACATAAATAGGAAGAAAGATACTAAATAAATTTTGAAGGGCCGGCAGATATTAGTCAGAGAACCACCTAGTGCTCATGTATCTACGAAAAATGAACAGGACAGTGTTACTTCATGATATTGGAAATGTCAAAATGGTATTCAGTGTCTATCTACAGACCTATGCCATGTGGTAAAACTTAATTGGGTGCCAGAAAAGAACTCAGCAAGGGGAAGGTAGAGAGACCACCTTGCAGGCTCTCTCACCTTTTTTGTTAGACATGGATCCCCTAGAGATCAGATACCAGCCTGTGGCGTTTTTCCATGGTCAGATAAATATATTGTATATGTTGCCCCTCTTCTGTTTGCTGGTGTGTTGGTTTCAAATATACCAACGGCCCAGCTCATATTCAATAGTACAAGGCGTTTCAACAAAGGGGCACATCGAATGGTATAAAGAGTTATCTCTTGGTCTGAAGGAATCACAAGCAAACAAGATTTTTTTTATATCAAACGTAATGTTAAAGAAATTACCACCTTATAATCTCCAGGGCTCACTTCCTTCTTCTTAAATGAATACTTGGGCCTAATCTGAGAAGTGAACAAACAGGATATGAAAATACAGCAAGGGCTAGTATGCTATCTTAACAAAGAGAAATGCTTACAACAACGCCCTTGCTCTCCAAGCTTTTCATCATACAGTCAGTTAAAAATTCACCACCAATTGGAGAAGTTGCTACAGACTGCCACGTGAAAACAAGTTAGTGAGCAAAACAATAGAAAAAAAAGCTTCAGAAGAGACAAGCCAAAAGTGGTGTCAGTGTTACGTATGCCAGGGTCCATATGATACAACTTGACATCTTATTTTATCAAATTTTAAAGAGAAGGTTGGATTAATCAAATGAAATGTACAATGTAAAAAGGGGCAGATCACTATTAGATACAGGCAAGTAGTGTAGTGTACACCCCCCCTTGAAAATCAGTACATTAATATCATAACATACCTTTTGCAACACATAACCATCATGCACAGCAGAAACCACAGTAGACCCGCCACCACTGCACCAAAAATGATCACTCAGTCATAATACAGCAATTTCTCTCATGACAAAGACCAAAGCATTGAAATGAAGATGAAATAAATCGTTGGTCGATGTTCGACACCAGCTTGTTAAAATCTAATGACACAGCTTATAAAATGATTAAGAATTCGAGAAGGTCATCTAAGCAAGAAACCAGATTAAGGTGCTCACATCAAGCAGAGAGAAAATGGAAATTTTAGCATTAACAGTTAGAACCAACTTCTTCATGAGTATTTTCTTGTCGCGGATGGATAGCTCCACAATATCTGTATGCTATGTGCAACATATATTGGTGAAGAACAATATACTTCAGATATAAAGTAGGAGACCGAGAACCAAGGAGACACCACAACACAGTGCACTTGTTCACAAACTAATCGTGCTAACGTGGCAAAAAGGGACCTTCATTTATCTATAAGGAAAATAGCAGGTTGCAGAGATAAAACACCATCAAGAAAATGCTGACCAGTCAACCACCAGAGATGTAGCACGTCCAGATGCAAAAGATGTGAGAACCTGACAACCCAATCAACAATTAAAAATAATAAACCGATTGCATCAAGGATTACTTCTGAGAGAGACATACTGCATTTTTTGCTAGGAACAGCGCTGGCACTTTGTACTTCTCAAACATAAGTTCGGCTGCTCTATAGAACATGGAAAATAAGAGTCAGGCTTGAAGGCACTCATATGGGTTAGCGATATAAATATTTTAAGCATAGAACATATACACATACTTCTCTCTTTGCTGTCCACTGTTTGTAGATGGTTCTGCTATCAGCATAGGATGCTCTTCAGGATTGATCAATAGCCGCTGTCTGAAATACAGAATAAGTGAGTGTGACAATACAATGGAACAAAGCAATAGCAACTCCAACAAATAGCATAGCATCATAACGAGCAAAGGCTTGCACTTAATCAACCTTAGCTGTTACAGAAGTCAAAACATCCCAACAAATTAAATAAACAAGTGGGTAAACAACGAACCATGTCTTGTGTGCTTACAAACTAACTAAAGATTTCACAATCAGTACACTCAATAGCAAATAAACACAGAATGCTAACTTGTTAAGCTTAAACTAGTAACTTAATTATAGTCCAAATGGTGCCATTGCTGATTATCGATGAACCATGTTAAAGAGGAGAAATTGCTCAGAGCTGCATCAAGCAGGTAAACAAATTTTACCTAAAAGCATGGTTCCATATGTTGTCAACAACTTCCCAATCAGTAACTGTTCCATCTTTCAGCGGTGAGATCACCTGTTTAGTGGGGAGGGGAAGAGAACCAGTAAGCAATGGTTATTAGAATACATGAGCAACAAATCACCCTCAGAATGTGCAGTCACTAACCTCCATATGATCCCTCCTGAATTCTAATTCTTGGCCTACATAATATTTGCGCTTTGTCTTGGCTTTGTCCACATCCATAGGCTTGGATCCATTCTTAGGATCTGATCCAGAGTCGGCCTCCTTTTCTGGCTTAGCTTCATCAGTATCTCCCGTTTGTTCAGTTGAACCAACAACCTTAACATATCAAAACCAGATACTGAGTGCAATAAGTTGTACTGGCCAAAACGTCCCGATTGGGTAGCTCACATACCCTTGAACCAACAAAATAACATAATTTCCAAGCACTGTTCAGGCAAAGGAGAAGAAAACATGCTAAACCAAAGAAAAGTGGCCAAATTCAAACCATTTTCTTAGTGCTAATTTACACAGTACTTCTCCTTTTCTCTGAATGTTATCACATGAGTAGTTTGCTTATTTCATCAGTAACAGAGTGAAACTAGCAATTTACTGCCACTCTACAAAATTAGCCCAATAATCCCACTAAGTGCAGAGGGAAAATCTTCAAACAACAAAAATAAAATATTAACTGTAGAGTCTAAGGGAGACAGAAAATACTCCAACTCAACAACTTGTAGATAAACTGAACTTCACATTTCAAACACAACAATACCATTTCCCAAGTTCCCATGAGATCTACAGTTAACCTCCGGAACTAATAGCACAAGTCACAATGCAGAAACTTTCAATACTTGAAATTCAGTTTTTGCGTTTGACTCGCGGTGCATGTAAGAAAGGCTCACACTAGATAACACTGGAAAATCTGGGCTATTAGACAGGACGGAATCATTAACTAACTTCCTTGTCAATAGATTAAAAAGATTGCACATGATGCGCTGGAACCGACAGGTAAGTGCATCTTATCGCACATGCCTGAATCCAACCCCGTACTAATGTAGCAATTATTTGCAGAGTAGGACGTGCCTGTTACAAAATTTATGGTTTGGCCAGTATAGCATGAACTGATACGCTAGCACCACCATGTCTGAACCAGAATCCGAAGCCGTTTGACTTAAAATAGCTCGAAAACTTGGAAATTTTGAAGCACTGAAACAAACTTCCACCGTTGCGATGCACGCGGATTTAGCACTCCCGGGTCAATGAACGAACCAAAACAGCCGGGTCACAACGAGACAGTCGGAAGAAACAGAAAATCTGACCCAGCAGAAGCAGAAGCTCACCGAGGGGAAGACGCATTTGGGGGTGTCGTCGCCAGCGTAGCCCGCCTTGCAGCTGTAGGAGCCCACGTCGATGACGATCGCTGAGACCTCGTCTGCGGGCGAGAGACCAAAGCGAAAGTGAGCGGTCGGGGCGGGAGATCTCCGGGGTTTAGGGTTTAGCAGGAGCAGGGGCGAGTCTTACCGCCGCCGTACATGCTGGAGATCCGGAGAGGGAGGGGTCGGCGAGCAGGAGCGGGGGCGCGCGGGGTCGAGGCGTCGGCGGTGACGCTGGGGCTGTTCGGCAACCCTCCCCTCCAAATTCTCTATTCTGCTCCTCACTTTTCTTTTTTCTTTTTTTGCCGATAACTTGGGGATTTTATTTTCTTAACAGAATCCTGTTACAATCAGCACGGAGGCTGCTCACTAAGAAATCCGGGCATTCCTCCAGCCAGCATTCGAGCCCGAATGGCACACGCATGCTTAGCACAAAGATCAGCCGAACTATTACAGTTCCGTGGGACATGTTTAACTGAAAATGAGATAAAACATGAAGCTATTTCCCCAATTTCATCTAAGATAGGCGCTACAACGGAACGGGCTTTGTTGCGCGACGACCAGAGGTTGACCACCTCTAAACAATCCACTTCCATCACCACATGTGAGAAACCCTGAAGTTGTGCAAAGATGACGCCCTCCCGTAGAGCGAGTGCCTCGGCGATGAGTGGATCGGTAACCCCATCAAAGGGTTTGCTCCAAGCTCCCATGAAGGCGAGATGAGACAGGGCCACCCCGCCCCCTCCTCCCTTGCAAGCTTCATTGCTGATGGCTCCATCAGTATTGATCTTAATCCAGCCCACATCAGGTGGCCTCCAGCATTGTCCGTCAGGGATTTTGCGACTGTTTGTAGGAATATCTAGCAAGAGCAAATCATCCCTGACCATTTTGATTGACTGGACCGGATCAAACACATCCTAATCATGAGTCCATCTATTGCGTGTTGTCCGAATCGCATGCATGACCGTAATCAGCTTACAGCATCGTGTTCAGAAAATATTCCATCCAGCACAATATCCTTCGCCCACGTAATCGGATGTAGGCGAGGAAGCTTCAGATCAAGGATCTCTCGCGCAGCCACCCAGTATTGCTTAGCATGTGAGTAGTGTAAGAGTGCATGCTGCAAATCCTCCATCCTGGCTTGGCATAGTTCACAGCGAGCCATTGTGCGTATATGGCGTCGTTGCAAATTGGCGTAGTCAGGGAGAATTCCCTTAAGTACTCGCCACCAAAATACCTGAACTCTTGGAATCACTTTTAGCTTCCACAAAGCTTTTCACAAGTGTTGATCTGACATTGAAGAGCCTGCTACCATCCCTTCCTCTTGAGTTAAATGCTCTTTATGAGTCATAAGAGCTCGGTATGCCATTTTAACGGAGTATACACCTGATTTTTCCAGAGCCCACGCATAGAAATCTTCGCCTCATGCCCTTCTCAAAGGAATATTCAGAATTGCATCGGCGTCAGGAGCTAAAAAGTTGTTGCATACCATTTGGATGTCCCATATACCTCTCTGTTGATCAATCAGTTCAACAACCTTGTCGAGTTGCGCATTCCCAATACGTCCTATTGGTTTCATCGTATCTGTACCGGGAATCCATCAGTCTGTCCATATAGATATGGATTCTCCTATACCCACTCGCTTAATTAGTCCCGTGTCCAAAGTTGCACGCCCCGCTGTAATGGCCTTCCACGTGGCAGATGCAGATCTAGGAGCTTGGGCATCCTCGAAGTTACATTTAGGAAGGTATTTCCCCTTCAACATCTTGGAACATAGCGACTCCGGGTGTGAGATGAGGCACCGGCCTTGCTTGCCTAGCAGCGCAATGTTAAATTGCTGCATATCCCGGAACCCTATGCCTCCTCTCTCCTTTGGTGCAGTCAGCTTATCCCATGACAACTAGTGTAAAGATTTCTTGTCTATGGAGCTGCTCCACCAGAACTGTGCCATGCCTGCTGAAAGTTGTTTCAGTATCTTCTTTGTCAGCAAAAAGCGTCACATACTGAAAGTAGGGATAGCCTGAACAATGGACTTGAGTAGAACTTCCCTTGCAGCACAGGCCATACCTCTCTCGGACCATCCTTGCATCCTTCCACGACTTCTCTCTACAATGTGATTAAAGGTACCACTCGTTATTCGTCCAACCGCCGTGGGAAGGCCAAGATATCTCTCTGTAAAGGCTTCTACAAAAAATCCAAGGACCTGCTTTATCTCCGTCCTTAGTGGATGAGACACATTAGGACTGAAATAAACTGAACTTTTCTCTCGATTAACCGCTTGTCCTGAACATGCAGCATATATTCGAAGAACTTCATTCAATCTAGCTGCACTTTGCTGAGTTGCTTTCATGAAGATTAGGCTACCCCAATTGTTCATCAATGTGTAGGCCACCCCAATTGTTTCCCTCTATCAATATGTTTCCCCCTATCAATGTGTAGGCCACCCCAATTGTTCATCAATGACGTGAGGCCTTCTGCACATATTAGAAAGAGAAAAGGGGACATGGGATCACCCTGACGGAAACCCTGAGAAGGAGTAAAGAACGGGAGAAGTGTTCCATTCACCTTGACTGAAAAACGGACTGAAGTCACACACTTCATAACCAGTCTCACAAACTTGTCACAGAAACCCAACTTAGTCATCATGGCCTCCAGGTAGTGCCACTCTACACGGTCGTAGGCCTTGAGCATATCAAGTTTTACTGCACAAAACGCTTGCTTGCACTTCTTCTTCTTTTTCATTGCATGCACACTCTCATAAGCTACCAAAATGTTATCTGTGATCAAACGTCCTGGTACAAATGCACTCTGCTCAGCACCTATAATCTCATCCATCAAGCCACAAAGCCTGTTTGAACACACCTTCGCAGCAATTTTATGTAACACTGAACATAGTGAGATGGGCTGGTACTGTGAAATCTTCTGGGGGTTACGAACCTTTGGGATAAGAGTGATGATCGTGTCGCTTAGGCCAATTGGAAAATCTCCCCCATCCAGAAACTCAAGGACTGCCTTGGTAATATCATCCCCCAAGACATCCCAGTGTTGCTGAAAAAACCCAGCGGTGAATCCATCCACACCTGGCACCTTGGAAGGAGCCATCTGGAAGAGCGCAATCTTCACCTCCTCCGATGTATGCTGCTTTTCAAGAGACTCGTTCATTGTCGCAGTTACACGAGCTGGGACATACGCTAGCAGTTCATCCATAACATTGTACCCTTGCGAGGTATACAATGATTGGTAAAACCCCATGATTTCAGGATTTCTGTTGGGTCAACACACAAAAATCCATCAGACTTTTCCAGTGACGTAAACCGGTTGATCCGAGTTCGTTGAGCAGCTTGTGCTTGAAAAAACTTTGTGTTCCGGTCCCCTTTCTGCAGCCAAAGAACTCTTGATCTCTGCTTCAACCAAATTTCCTCTTGTCGCAAAGTTTCTCGAAGTTGAGCTGCAACTGCTTTCTCCTCATTGCACGGGCCTCTACCAATCGAGGCTGCACGTAGCTGCTCTAATCTCTTCTGCAATTTCTTGACCCGTTTTGATATATTACCAAACTCCCGGTCTCCCCAGGAACCTAAAGTCTCCTGTACAGCCGACAGAGCTTGTACCACACCTGCTAGGCCCTCGTTGCCGGCTCCCGATTTCCATGATCTGTTAATTAGATCATCATAGTCACTATGTGACTGCCATACATTTTCATATCGGAAGGAGCGTTCACCTCGAGGCCAAAGACTTAATTGCTCTCTTTTCAATTCTATCAGCACATAGCAATGATCTGACTTGGTTGAGCTAATATGCTTTACATTGGAATGAGCAAATAACTGGAGAAAGTCGTTGTTCGCAAAGACTGTGTATAAGTGCGCTTTGACATTTGCTTCCCCTTGCTGTTTATTATCCCATGTAAAAGGTACACCTCTCCACCCAAGATCCTAGAAGGAGCAGTAATCAATTGCCTCACGAAATGCACGCATCTGCCACTCCGGCCGAGGATGCCGACTGAAGTGTTCATCTGCGAACATCGTCTCATTGAAATCTCCGATGCACAGCCAGCCTTCATGTTGGATTGCATGTAAAGTTCGCAAGAAGCCCCAGCTGTGGTGCCTATTTTCAGCTCGGGGTTCTCCGTAGAAACCTGTGAGACACCAGAAAGGAAGATCAAGATCCTTCTTTCTGACTTGCACATCTATATGTGCTCGGCTATAGTTCTTCAGATCAACTTCAACATCATTAGTCCAGAACAAACCAACACCGCCACTTAAGCCGCTGCTATCGACAACAAAACAACCACTGAAACCCAACACATTCTTCAATTTTTCCACTCGTTTTCCGCTGATCTTCGTTTCCATCACAAAGAGCAGGGAGGGACCTTCTTGCTTTACAATCTTGCAAAGCTCTCGAACTGTCGATGGGTTCCCAAGCCCACGACAGTTCCAACTCATGCACTTCATTGGGATGGGCAGGGCTGGCTCGCAGCTCCTGCCGAATTATCTGGGGTTGGTCTTTTCTTTTTGGGAATCCTTACATAGTCATTGCCCGTCTCATCATTTCCTTCACCATCTACTGCTGTTGAACTCTCTGGGTTATCAATTTTTTCCTTCGCTGCTCCTCACTTGTCAACTCCCACCTCCAGGGTAGATATTTGGTGATACGGTACATGAGATGCTCCCTTGATACGCGACCATGTGGGTCGTTCGATCTGGACTGGAGGCACAAGATTGAGCTGGCTCACCTGATGTTGCCATTTATGCAAAACACACCCTGGTTTATTCCATGATTCAGCGACAAACTGCATATCCGTCTGTTCCGTTCGCTTCTTGGTCAATTTAAATACATTATAACTGTGCATCTTAGGAGCTCTCTCACGTCATCATTGATTTTGGCCGTCAGATCAATTGTCCCCGTCATTCTTGTTCGTCGGGTGCGCCAGCCTGGATGTCCAAGGCCTGCTACTCTGGGAGCAAAATTGGAGACGTCTCGTTCATTTCTTGATGGACGGTCCACGTGTGCATCATAAAAGTATGCGACGGCTCTGGGGTCCGGGCGATGCTACCCTCCCCGCACCTCGCTCCTCGATCAATCATCCTGCCTGACCCCTCCCCTCTCCTCCCCTCCCAATCTCGGCCTAGGGCAAACCATAGTGCGCCGTCGAGTAGTCTCCCTA